GACTGATTAAAGACTCGCTGGATCAAACTGAGTTCTCCTCAAGACAAAAATGGCTGGGAGGTAACTTTTTTTTACGACTTATTTATTGCCACATCAGAGTACCCCCTAAAATGTTAGCAGCATTAACCCGAAGCCCTGCTTTGGGGAGCCCTGCTTTGGGAAGCCTTGACATGATACGGAGTCTGAAAGCTCGGGATCCCGCTAATAAGCCACAGATTTTGGACACGTTCCTTGATGTTCTCATCTACAAAATGGAACTAAAACTCTTTCTTCTCTTTCTTCCTGGCTGTGATGGCTGCTGTGTCCAGGGAGGTGTCAGCTCCCTCCTGCAGCTGGCTCAGTGTGGCCTGCTGCACAACGAGCCCTCTCTGCCCTGGGCACAGCCAGCCTGTCCGCACTACCTCCGATAGATCCAGGGAACAGCCCGGGTACACACCGTTTCCAAAGCAAGAACAGAGACTCTGCTAGCACAGGCCCATGGCAGATGCTGCTTTCTTACTCTGCCACTTAGAGGCTAGAACCAGGTGGTGCTGATAGGGGTTAGGGACTTGCCCAAGGACACACATCACTAAGTTGTGCAGCTGGGACTTGAACTCAGGTCTAACTGACCTGCAGGAAGACTGGGTTCTCTGAGCACTCTGGCAATCCCTCATTCTGATCCAGCTCAGCACCCCATGCTCAGTCCATAGGGCCCCACTGTGCCAGGCTGGGTCTGAATCTCCTTGTACTTTCCCACTGTGAGCTTTGCTTGAGCTGTTCCCCATTCCTGGAAAGGCCTCTCTCACCTAATAGATAGCCAACTTCTGGGGCCAGGCCTCTATGACAGCTTCCTTGCATTTGTCTTGCTGGAACCTCTGAAATGGCACATTCTTCATTTTGCTTTGTGTCTGTCAGCCACAGTAGATCATGAAGTTTCTTGGGGGCCAGAACACTGAATTGTTGGAACCCTCCTGGATGGGATCTGGAGACCTTGTAGATGTGCCCAGGTGTTGATATTGACATCCCCCAGGGGCACAGTGCATTAAAGTGTACAAATGCAGCAGTGTCTCATTTGCTCCTCCCAGAGGTCCTGGCACATCATCTCTTCCTTCCAGAAAAGGACCATTCAGACCAGAGAGTCACTGTGGCCTGTTCAGGGTCACACAGCTTAGGGGGACACTGGGGAACTAAAGCCAAGCTGGAGAAGGGCTGGGCTGCAGCACAGAGCTCCAGGGCTGCAGCAGTGCCTCCCCCTGGACAATGGGGGTGTGGGCACCAGCTGGTACCCAGCCTTCAGGATGGGGAAAGAAGAGAGGCCTGGTCTCCTGGAAAGGGGCGGGCCATGGCCTTCAGGAAATCTGAGAGTAGGTGAGGGTCTGGTATGGAAAACTGATCCTTCTTGGGAGTTGCTGCCACTCTTTGAGCCTGTTTTTCCCATCCATGAAGGAATTACGCCTACATCACCTGTGTTGGTTCATTCAGTACAAATTCACTTCGTTGGCCCCCTACCTCTATGTTGGACTCTGGGGATAGAGAGAGGAGCTGGACAGGGGTTCTGCCCTGGAGGGCATAGGCTGGACTGGGGAGGTGGACAAGTCATACAAAGGTGGGATGCAATGCAGTGTCGGAGGTTGAGGGAGGAGCGATGTCAGGGGCAGGTGGGAGGTGTTTGGGCTGAGTCTTGAAGGTGGCCAGGGGTTCTCCGGGTATGCACGTGGGGCAGGAACAACGTGTGTGAAGACCTTGAGTAAACAGCTTTAGGGAACTGTAAGGAGCTGGAACTTAGGCCCAGGGTGGAGAATTGGGGTGGGATAAGGGGCAGGGTGAGACTGACAGGGGTGGAGGGATGAGGGCAGGCTGAAGGGCCTCTGGGAAGCTCGGACCGTCCTGTTCGTGCCCAGCTCAAACACAGAGTAAAAAAGTTCAGACGATGGGCAGTGCCACTGCCCTAAGCTCAGGCCCAGAGAGAAGAGTCAGGTTTTCCTGACTCCGAGTGTATCCGTGGCCTTCCATGGTTGTGCCTGGAGTTATAGGGAGAGAGCAAAGCTCAGAGGCTGGTAACTCTGCGACCACATGGGGGTATTGACCCAATGGATGGCTTAGGAGGTGACCTTGGGGCAGATGGAGGGCGCAGGAGGGTAGTCGGCATGAGGTGCGGCCTGTGCAAAGGCCGAAGCCAAAAGAGCCGGGCGTTAAGTAGGCCAGGATCAGCCTGGCTGGCAGGAATGAGATGGCAGAGATGGATGAACTGGGTCAGACCCTCAGCTGGCTAGGCCTGGCCCAGGTTCTTCCAAGCCCTGGCCCAGTTGAGCTTTCCCCTCTCCGACACCCACCTCCCCAGGAGCAGCCCTTCCCAGCAGTCTTGGCTGCTTTGTGGCCTGGAGGGCTGCCAGAACCCTCGTTCTCCAGCAGCCTGGCTGTATGACCTCAGCTAGCTTGCTCTCCCTCCCTGGGCCCTTTGGGCTCTGAACACTGGAATTTCTAGAGCTGATTTCTGGGCTCCTGCGTTCAGCTTCTTTGATCTAATTCTTGCAACTTAAATTGCTTCCTGAGAGGCCCTGCAGAAACCGGAAACCGTGATGCTAATGACTCTCCCAGGTGGCTGTGCTCCAGAAGCCCAGGGGCTGGCTCCCCGGGCTCCCCGCTTCTTTTTCCTCTGGTCTCCAAGGCAGCGGGGTGGGTGGGAGAGGCCGGGGTTGCTGGCCTTCCTGAGCAGAGGGATGAGCTCCCAACACTGTTTGCACATGCTATGCACAAACCTCTAGCCAGGTGGTTTGCACATGGTAGGTGTCAGAGGAATGGAGGCGCTCTCCCAGAATGAGAGATAGCTTGGCCGCTTCTCTTTCCTCTTCCCTCCGGCCTGCTAAGCAGACTCCGTGGCCCTTGCCTGATTGTAATGGTATCTTCCAGTTATTGAGCCAACATTGTTCCCATTGTGGAAATGAGAAAATGGGGACTCAGAGAGGTTGAGTGCCTTGTTTAAGGCCACATAGCAGGTGGGTGGTGCAGCTTGAACTGGCACACACATCAGTCTTGCTCTCAAACTACCTTGCCTCAGTGTCCCTCAGCTGGTCTGGGAAGTTGGGACCTGTGTTTGACAGCGTTGCTGTGTTGCCCTTGGCAGGCCCCAGAATGGATAGACTCGGGGAGTGTGGAGCTCTGCCAGCAGCCCAGGTGGAGTCTGAGATATGGGGTCACAGATGGGGCTGTCAGTTAGGTGACTGGCTGTCCAAGCTTCTTTCAGGTCATCTAATGTGTCAGGCCCTGCTGGCTGTTGCTCCTCACCCTGCCCTCCCCTCCTGGAGGTTTTCTTAGCCATGTCGATTTGTCCATGTCACTTGTGTTTGGTTGGCAAGTGGCTGGCTACAAGGTTCAGGGTGCTGGGCTCACCTGGACCTTCAAGGGCTGAAGGAGGATGCTGGCATGTACGGCCACCTCCTATGTCAGGCTCTGTGCCTGGGACTACACGTCCAGGAGGACCAAACCAAGTCCTCTGGGGCTTCTGGTCTCATGGGGTGCTTATGGTCCTGTTCCCTGGACTGGGGAATCTCAGGGAGGTGTGGGGAAGATAAGTAGCTAGGTTTGGGGTTCGTATCTATGAGGGGCCCGTGGTCCTCATAGGAAGTGGGCCTGTTTGGGGTCCAGGCTAAACACAGGGGTCATCAGCGGGGGGCAGGTGAGCAGACAGACCACCGGGGACCCCAGTGGGGGAGGGAATGTCTGGGATAAGGGAGGGGTCAGAACCAGTGCCAGATGCCCCCGGAGCCCAGGAGGAGGAGGCTGTTCAGGAGGGTGAGACACAGCTGCTGCATCTGGGATGCTGTCCTGAGAGAGTGGCTTTGGAGATGGGGAGGTCCTGGAGGCTGGGGGCGGGGGCGCAGATCCTCTGGGGAATTAGGTCATTGGGATTAAGGAGCAGTGAGAGTGCTGCCTGTGGACTGGAGACATTTATTCCAGAAATGCTGGAGGGAGGGGGCAAGAGAGAATGAATGTGAGCGATGGCTGGATGGAGCCCAGGTCAAGGTTTTCCACACAGGGCAGAATCGTGCCTCTCTAGATTAAGGGGTGGCGGTCCGGAGGAGAGACTTGGAGACAGTGCCGCTGCTTTCCTCTATCTGTGACACGAGCCAGGGAGCTGTGGGTCGGCCACTCGTCTGGATTCAGCCCGGGGAGGTTTAGGGATGGCTGGTAAAACAAGGGAAGTGCGCCGTGGGTACCGACCGACAGTCCTGAGCTCCACGTGGTCGTGCCTTTGGTTTGTTGGCTTGTGGGCCTGGTGTCACCTCTAAGCTTCAGAAATGAGAGAATTCAGACTGTGGAGTCAGACCATTTGGTTCCTATTCCTGCTCTGTGTGTACCAGCTGCGTGACCCTGGGCAGGTCACCCCTCGCCCCGCCGAGTCTCCATTCCTGTCCTGTATGATGGGGATGAGGATGCCCGCTTCACAGGGCTGCTGGGAGAGAGCACTCAGGGCCTCCAGTCCTCGGAAAATGATGATCTTCTTGCCTTCTGTCCTCCCAGGCGCCCCCGGAACCGCCCACTCACCTGCTGCTCTAGACTAAGGGGTGGCGGTCCGGAGGAGCGACTTGGAGACAGTGCCGCTGCTTTCCTCTGGCTGCGACACGAGCCAGGGAGCTGTGGGTCTGCCACTCGTCTGGATGCAGCCCGGGGAGGTTTAGGGAAGGCTGGTAAAACAAGGGAAGTGCGCTGTGGGTACCGACCGACAGTCCTGAGCTCCACGTGGTCGTGCCTTTGGTTTGTTGGCTTGTGGGCCTGGTGTCACCTCTAAGCTTCAGAAATGAGAGAATTCAGACTGTGGAGTCAGACCATTTGGTTCCTATTCCTGCTCTGTGTGTACCAGCTGCGTGACCCTGAGCAGGTCACCCCTCGCCCCGCTGAGTCTCCATTCCTGTCCTGTATGATGGGGATGAGGATGCCCGCTTCACAGGGCTGCTGGGAGAGAGCACTCAGGGCCTCCCGTCCTCGGAAAATGATGATCTTCTTGCCTTCTGTCCTCCCAGGCGCCCCCGGAACCGCCCACTCACCTGCCGAGACCCCCCGCTGCCCTGTCTGGGCCTTCGCTCCCAGGGCAGTGGCCGCCATGTTCTCGTGCATGAAGCCTTATGGAGACCAGAACTACTCAGCCCTGAAGCGGGCCTGTCTGCGCAAGAAGGTGCTCTTCGAGGACCCCAGCTTCCCAGCCACTGACGACTCGCTGTACTACAAGGGCACCCCGGGGCCCGCCGTCAGGTGGCAGCGGCCCAAGGTCAGTGTCTGCCCCGGGCTGGAGCTGAGGCGAGCAGGCCCAGACCCAGACCCACCCAGTCTGCAGGCGATGGTGGCCGCAGGGAGGCCTCATCCTGAGGTCCCAGGTGGCCGGGAGCATGGAAGGCCTGATGCTGGGCCTTCCTGCTGTGGAACTGATCTGGACCTGGAGCCAGGAGAACCGGCCTTAGTCCCAGGGTCCATTGAGATAAAAATGAGGTGGCATGGATGTGATTTTTTTTTTTTTAAATGAAATATTGAGTAACGTTCAAGTGTAAGGAAGTTACTCTGCTGATAATTACCATAACGATTTTGAAATAGTTATTGGCTGTAAATGAAAAGTATTTATAATGATGATTAATCAATAATAATAGTAGTAAAAAGTAATAGTACCTCATAGGGTTGTTGTGAACAGGAAAAGAGATGATGCATGGAGAAGTCTGGCGTGGAGCCTGGCGCCCAGTATGGGCAGCTGTTACCGTCACTATTGAGAATGGTGAATTATGCAGCATCCGGCTGGCTGCTCCTCCTGCCCGGGCCCTGGTCGCTGAGGCCAGAATGTGTTTAATGGAAGTGCTGGGCCTGCCTTGTGGCATCATTTCATTCTTTTTAACCTTGATTCCTGAGTATGAGAATGAGTGCTCCTTGGGGCCTGGGTGACCACTGAGGAGGCTGCTGGAGGTCACTGCCTCAGGCCCCTCCCCAGTTTCCACCACTGTGCTGGTGACACTGTGAGAGTTGGTTACACAGGAGGGACTTTAGTGCTGTGCCCAAGTCCTGCCCAATCATTGGAGAAGACGTTTGCCAGGAAGGGCTATGCAGGCGGAAGGCACAGTGTGAAGAAGGCACCAAGGCTTGTAACCCTCAGGCTTGTTTGGGACATGGCAGTGCCGCCGAGCACAGGGCATATGGAGGGGAGTGCTGGGAAGAGGAAGCCAGCGGGGGCCCGGCTGATTGGCTCTGAGGCTGCAGGAGCCAGCAGGGTGTGACAGGGTCAGATTAGCATTTACAAAGTTCCCTCTAGCCCCCTGGACATTTTGGGAAAACGAAATTTAGTTTTCCTGTTCCTCTCCTAGGCTATGATCTCAAGTCCTTTCTGACTGAAAACATCCTGTGTATTTTCTTGGCTGAGTAAGGAAGGGAAACTGAGGCTGAGAGAGAAAGGAGGGTGCCCCCATTGCCCAGGGAGCTGGCAGTGGATCTGGGCTGCGACCAGGAGGCCTGCCACCCCTGGCCTCCCTCCCTGACACCAGATAAAGAGTCCCTTATCCCCATGAGCCACAATAGATAGAATTTCTGTCCCCTGCCTGGGTTCTCTGAAACTCCCAGGAGCAAGATTCCCGCCTCTTGGGTCCCCCACTCCCACGCCTTCCTTTCTGCCTTTTGTCTGGTGGGTGGAGAAGGAGGCCACTCTCAAAGGGCCTTTGTGAGACCTTCGGTTCAAGTGGGTGGAGGGCGGACATTCGAGCTCTTGACCCGACTCTCACTCCACCCCCTCGCTGCCCCATCCTCACCCTCCTGCCCTCCTGCCGTCACCCAGACATTCTAGATCCTGGCTCTGAAGGAGGCCAGTGAGGCCAGGCTGGGGAAGTTTGGACTTGCTGCCAAACGGCATTTGGAAGAAATGCCAGGCTGGCTGGGCCCAGCATCCCCCTGCTGTGTGACCCTGGTGGAGTCACCTGCCCTCTCTGGACCTCTTTCCTTGCCAGTTCAGGAGTCCGGCCACACTGTCCTCTCCTTCACTGCCTTCCTCCTCGGGCTTGGTGCCTGGTCCTCTCTAGACACTGAAAGAGGAGCAACAGAGCTGCCCGCTCCCTGAATGTGGAGGCCGGTGACAGACAGCATGTGGTGGCTGGTGCTGAGATGGGGATGTCTGAGTGGGGCCCAGGGGTAGCAGCGGGGGATCAGTTCCAGGTAAAGCAGGCGGCTCAAGGCCAGCATGGCTGAGTGGTGTTGGATGAGGAGGTGAGACCCTGTGGACTGGGGTGCGATGGGTGGTCCATGTGTCAGCAAGCCTGCTGGGTGGCGGTAGTGTGACTGGCAGGTCCTCACTCCATGGACAGGATGGGTGGTTGGTGGAGCAGGAAGTCAGGCCTGGTTTGCCTCAGGCGGGTGGGGTGAAACTGGCCCAGTGGGGTGACTTAACTCCCAGCTGCTTGGCCCTTGGCCAGTCAGATGGAACTTTGGCCTGAGGCAGCTGTATTTCTTTGGAGTCCCACTTCCTGGGGCCAGTGTGACTGGCAGGCCCTCACTCCATGGACAGGATGGGTGGTTGGTGGAGCAGGAAGTCAGGCCTGGTTTGCCTCAGGCGGGTGGGGTGAAACTGGCCCAGTGGGGTGACTTAACTCCCAGCTGCTTGGCCCTTGGCCAGTCAGATGGAACTTTGGCCTGAGGCAGCTGTATTTCTTTGGAGTCCCACTTCCTGGATTCTGTGACCTGACTTTACAAACAGAGCAAAAAGCCAACCTTCTCGACAGCCCAGGGGAGGCCCTTCTTCTCTCCCACGCACCTCCGCCTCCTCTTTAGGGCAGTTGGTGTTGGTGTCGTGGCGTCTGTGTTCTTGGGGAACCCCTGAGCCAGCCTTACAGCCTGCCGGCCTCCCTCTATTTTTCTCCCAAAGTGGAAAGAGGAGGCTGGTTTCTGAGCCAGATGGACTTAGCCTTAGCTTATGGGAGGTGTGACCTTAAACAAGTCATTTCTTCTTCTTTGGGCCTCAGTTGTCTCATCTGTAAATGGAGAGAATAATTCTTGCCGATTATGGTTCCGGAGGATGAAATGACTTGAGGCCTCTGTGGTGTCAGATACATGGCAGGCAGATGACAAACTGGCTCCCTTCTCACCCACCTGCCAACGCTATGTTGGGGACCCAGAGCTGGCCCTGCCTGGGAAGTCCCATCTCTTGTGGACTCTGCAGGTGGGGCCAGGCCTCATCTTCCTCAGTCTCCACTCAGGGCACCTGCCTCAAGCCCACACCCTCCTCTTCTCCCCAGCTTCATCGCTTGTTTATTCCTTCCGGTTTAGTAATCATCTGCTGGCCTCCCCCACAGGCCTCTCCAGGGAGATAAGAGACTGGGACCGTCAGCAAGACCTGTGATTCACAGGGAATCCCAGAGGATGGACTTAAAGGGGCGAGGAGATGGGGAGCTCCCTCCTCTCAGGCCCAGGGCATTAGTGGGGTCCCTTCCCATCTCTGCAGGGGCAGAGGGCCCTCCACCACCCATCCAGCACTCTGTCTCCCCTCTTCTCTGGAGGCGAGCCTGCAGGTCCCTTGGGGCAACAAAGAAGGGAACAGGGAGGAGTCCTACAAACAGGGATCCATTCCAGAACCTCCCAGAATTCTCCCAAAGTGGCCTGCTGGTCCCCAGCCCCATGCTCAGGGCTCGTGCTCCTCATACCAGCACCTGGAGAAGTTCCCACTCCTTGGCTGTGCTGCACCATAGCCCACTTATGCCACCAAACAGGCAGTTTGCACCGAGGCCAGCACCTGGGCCTCTGTCCTGCCCAGGAATGATCCCCTCTGTGGCATACGCTCATGGGATCGCCATGGGGGAGAGGGGGAGCATGGGCTAGGGAGGCAAATCTGTTGAGGGGTCACGGGAAGGGGGGACAAGCTACAACTCCTGAGAACACGGCCCTGGCTCCCGTCTCAGGCAGAGGTCCTGCTTCCTTCCTCAGCCTGTTGCCCTGCTTGCTTGTTTGGTTGA